TCTGGGTCCAGACCCCTCCTTCCGCCCTCGCTGCCCTGCTGCTGGGGGGAGCGTGAGCCCAGGAGGGGGGCTGTGGCGTGCCAGGCTGCCCTGCGGGGGGCCTCCTGGCAGGGGCCAGGGGAAGAGCTGTGAACAGCCTGAGCGGTAGACGCGCCGAGCGCCCCCTCTAGATGACCCAGGCCCCTTCGGGTGTCTTGTCTCGGCGGTCCAGACCCCTCCTTCCGCCCTCGCTGCCCTGCTGCTGGGGGGAGCGTGAGCCCAGGAGGGGGGCTGTGGCGTGCCAGGCTGCCCTGCGGGGGGCCTCCTGGCAGGGGCCAGGGGAAGAGCTGTGAACAGCCTGAGCGGTAGACGCGCCGAGCGCCCCCTCTAGATGACCCAGGCCCCTTCGGGTGTCTTGTCTCGGCCCCGCCCGGCGCTGGGGCACCCCCGGCCTAGTCCCTTTGGGGCAGGTGGGACCCATGGAGGAGCCAGGGGGTGGAGGGTCTCAGCTCCTTTCCACACGCCTGGTTCCCTCCCCCCCGCAGGCCTGCTCCCCTCCCGGGCTCTGTCCCAGGAGTGGCTCTGGGAGACGGACACTCCCCGGGGCAGCTGTAGCTCATGAGCAGGGGCAGGGCTCAACAAACGCCTGCCTACAGCTCTGCTAGCTTCTCTGGGACCCATGGAGGAGCCAGGGGGTGGAGGGTCTCAGCTCCTTTCCACACGCCTGGTTCCCTCCCCCCCGCAGGCCTGCTCCCCTCCCGGGCTCTGTCCCAGGAGTGGCTCTGGGAGACGGACACTCCCCGGGGCAGCTGTAGCTCATGAGCAGGGGCAGGGCTCAACAAACGCCTGCCTACAGCTCTGCTAGCTTCTCGGGCGCAGGGGCTGCCGGACTCGGGCGCGACCCTGCCCTCGCCTTGGTGGCCGGACAGGCCTGGCTAGTGACTCCACTGTCTCCTACATTCCCACCCAAGTGCCTCCTCTCCGCTGGGTACGGCACCTCAGGCTGGCACCACGCTGCTGTCGCTGTTCTAGCCTTGCCTTTCTCAATAAAGTCGTGCTGGGTTGCCAAGTGGCTGGGGGCTCGCCGTGTCTCTCCGGGGGCT